TACAAGGGGTTTAGGGTTTAGGGTTTAGGGGTTTAGGGTTTAGGGTTTAGGGTTTAAGGTTAAACTTTCAGATTACTACTAAATTATAAGAACCCAAAAAGTTTAAAGGTTGGGTATTGGAGAACTAAGACACCCTGCGCAAACAGCCTCTTCGGTTCTGCACGGGAATTGATAAAGTCCACCCCCATGAAGTCCAGCGATGATCCCTTCCGCAGTGCATTGACTAAGAGGTTTCCTTCCATGAACCGAACTGGATTGCGCGCGATGCTGAAGTACATGGGGAGCTCAGGCACGTCGATTGTCGCAATGCGGTTGTCTGACAGATCCAAGTACAACCAATCAGGATCGAGGGGACCCATGCCGCCCGACACGTCTCCGTAGAGGCCACTGTTCGCCGCAGCTATGCTCGTAACACTCGGTAAAAACTTGAGCGTCGTGCGGAGCTGCGACACAGAGGTATTCAATGGGCAGCCAGAGACCTTGTCAAGCAAACGATTTACACCTCGACAAAAATACCTTGTGGCACTCTCACACATTTATCGAAAAAACGAGCAGCTAACGAGCACCCTAAATCCCCTACCCACCTGCAGCGTCCTCAAGGAAGGCAGGATAAACCTCGCGCCCTTGTCATCATCTAGTACTCTGTTGAGGAAGTTGAGCTCAGACGAATCATCGATGGGAAGCAGGAACTCTGAGCGTGTTGCCTCGTTCTACCACACGACTCTAGGAACCAGTAATGACTCAAGACTCATGCTGCACTGCTGCACAGTACTGAGAGCAATGCCGTCAAGTCCAGGATCGTGAGGCGTTTCAGGTTGTACCCGTAACGTTCTGTGGATAAGTGGCCATGTACACTGGTGAAAGCCAGCCTGATCTGCGTCAAATCGGGAAGGTCGACAAGGCTGCTGATGTCACCAATGATGTCCGAATTCCCTGAAAGGTCAAGCTCAATGAGCTTTGGCATCACCTCAAGGGAATGCAACTCTCGGCAAAATGCTGGCGCTACGACGACGAGGACGACGACGACT